TTGTCAGTGAGCTGTGGAGATGCGAGCTTGATAAAGTTGATAAACTGGTCGGTTACATTAAAATGATCTTTAAACACTGCCCTAGCCTCAAACTTCAATACAGGCAGAATATTGCAAATGTGACTGAAATGTCTGAAATAGGGAAACAAAAAATTGCACTTCTCCCAGAGTCACTACTCTTTGGAATTCCTGGTTTTGGGCTGTACAATACCGTGCGGCTCACTGGAAGTACTACTCTGAGTTCGTCTCAGAAGAGCTCACACTGACACTGAACATGCAGATTTTAACAGACCTTTCAACCCTGCTAAATGATGCTCAGCTGAATGAGGAAGTTCAGTTCGTTGCCAAGAATGCCACAGGTCTGATGGACTTAATCACTTGGTTTGAATCTCGACATGTCACAATCCACCAAGCATACAACAAAGTAATGGGTGTACTGTTCTGGACTGACAGGCAAACGAAAATCCCTCTAACAATGCTGAGTTAAATGCCAGTGCTCAGCGGGTAATTTCTTGCATTGCAAAGAAGCTTAAACAATATTACTGCTACAGGGAAGAGTCAAGCAATACAGAAAAAATGGCTCGAAAGTTTCAACAACCTGGAGTGGGGTTCCTAAAGGCTGTGCATATTTTTGACCCTGCACAAATGCACATGCTGATGGTGAACTTGATCTTCAGTGGAAGCCAGAATCCCTCACCTTGCAAGGCTAGTTCGGCACTGTCTGACAATTCCAGTGAACTCCATGGTTGCAGAAAGAGCTGCGTCTAAACACGGATAGGTGTTCTCAGCTCAGAGACAGGGAATGAAGAAAGAGACAGTTTCAGGATGTTCCATACTCCCATTCAATTAGTGGCATTTGAAACCAGAACTTTTTTTTCACCACTTTTGTTAACTTAAGGGCGTTACATGTTTATATTTTTCCATTTTAAATGCATATTCATGCTTTGTTACAACGCTGTGAAATGTAAGATTTAAATATTTGAAACCATGAAATTCAAGATTTTTTAAATGCTACGATCGTGAAATTTACTAAAATGGTCTGTGAATTTAGTAGGGCCATGCTCATAACTTTTAGCCCAGTGGTTAGTGTATTCACCTGTGCTGTCGGAGATAATCAGTTCATGTCTTCCCTCCACTGGAAAAGGAAAAGGGATATGAAATGACATCTGCCACCTTCCAGTGAGTGTCTTTGCCACTGAGCCAGAGGATATTCTGATGGGGCAGGGGCTTTCTCCTGTTAAGGCTGTTCCACTGTGGATAAAGAATCACTGGGCCAGAAAGAGAAAGTATGAATGACACTATAGCCTGGTGGACAGAGCTCTCACTTTGGAGTGGGAGATCCAGGGTCCAGTCCTCCTGCTCCAGTGACTTTTTAAAATTCTTTATCCACAGTGGAACAGCTTCAACAGGAGAGACTGTGAGAGGGCCACATTGGAATATCCCATAGCTCACTGGTTAGAGCGCTGTCCTGAAAGGTGGCAGTTCCTAGTTCTAATCCCTTTTCCCACATCCCCGATGAGTACCCTAAACGCTGGGCTGAAAGCTGGGAAGTCTGCCGCCACCAGTTTCTTGCTAAAATGGCATAGGCACCTAATGCCAGGAAAGGTTTACAGCTGAAACATATTAAATACAATGAAAGAATGTACACACATGCTGATAAGCTTTCCAGAATTCATCCCAACTCTCACATGGGCTCAGGCAAGGGCAGTCTTTCAACACCCCACCTTAGGGGCTTCCTTGCGGTTATAAGTTCATCAGAGCTTCATCTTAGAACACGCACCTACTGTTATGAGTCTTCCAATCCTCCCCTAAGGACTGGGGCTCTCTGTGGACTAGGGTCCTGTCCATTTGCAGGATCATGAAGGAGGAACTAAACCCCAGGGAATTTATCCAAAAATCCTTTATTTGTCTGTTGGCCCCTGGAAAATTGAGTTTGAACTAGTATATCCATTTCTTCCCAGAAGATTGTCATTAAAGGGTTGATAATGGATGAAGTGTATTAGCCTCCCCCCACCCCCAGTGGAGGAGATACATAAAATGCCACAATAACATATACACAGTTACATGTTTAATACAATGAATCCCACAGGTGTCAACCCTAATTAAATAAGATTCAACTTAATTCAGTAAAGTTTATCTTAATTCCATAAGGTTTGTTCATCTTATCACAGATTATCACCAGTCTGTCACAATGATATTACTGTGTGAAATGTTTTCTAAAGATCTGCAGTCAAGATTTTTAACTTGACTTTAGGGCTGGATTGTAGAGAAAGGCATCTAATAAGTGCCAGGAGATGGATGTCTGCATTACGGATGGGGGGCCCATATCACCTAGACTGTCCCTATATTAATCAAGAAATCAAAGAAATAATTTAATCTCTGCAAATTTAGATAAAATTGTAAGTGGGTTCCCAGTAGAAACTGACCTGAAGTCCCGTTCAAGAATGGTTTTGTAACACTGCTGGAAATGATGTTTTCAGCACCAGTTCAGGGATAACCATTGCTGACAAAAGTCATCAGCAAAGGATTGATTTCCCAGTGTACAGAGGGCCTTAAAGTATTTTGAGACTGGGTGTAACACGATGATGTAGCCCATGGTGGTCCAGGGCCAGCCAACCCTAGTTACTAAACAGACACACCTGAACAAAGCTCAAACTACTCCCCGAGAAGAGAGCAGGAAGCTGCAGAGATGGGGGGAAGAAGGCTCAGAAAGCAGAAGCCTGAGAAACTGTAGCTGGTGTGAGGAAGCTGCTGTAGGGGGCAAGACTGTCTCTTGCAGGGAAATATTGAACTGTGATCCAGCTTTAGGAAGGACGGTTGGGGACTTCCTACCTAATAGAAGAGGGACATTGAACAAGAGTTGAGGCCCGGCGGGCCAAACTCCTAGTCAGGGCCAGCTCTGGCTTTTTTGCCGCCCCAGGCAAAAAAGCCTCCCACCGCCCCCAGCCCCCCTCCCACCGCCCCCAGCCCGGCCATGGCCCCGTTCTCCCCAGCCGGCCGGAGCGCTGGGGGGAGGGCGGACCCGCTCTCCCCAACCGGCCAGAGCGCCGGGGAGAGGGCGGCGAGCCCAGCCAGGGCCCCGCTCTCCCCGACCGGCCAGAGCGCCCTCCCGATCCTGGTGCCGCCCCAAGCACCTGCTTGGTCGGCTGGTGCCTGGAGCCGGCCCTGCTCCTAGTTGAAGAAAGAGAAAGAGCCATTGAATTGGGACAAAACTCCAGAAAGGAGGGCTGGGGACTCCCCACCTCAGAGGAGAAAGACACTGAACTGGGGTTGGGGCCTGAAGGGCACATTAGGTCAGGACTAAATAAATTGGACCCCAGAAAGGGAATGTTTTAATTGCCTTTGGACTATGTGTGCAGGGCCTATTTAAGAAGTCCCTTGAAGGGGAAAGTGAGGCAGACTCCTGTAGAGTGACCTCTGGCCAGGAGTGGGTACTTGGGTGGTGATCCGCTCAGTTACACTGGGCTGTCATCTTGACAACTGAAATAATGGACATTTTAAAAGAATTCAGATCATGACTGGCTCATTGAAACATACTGTAAAGTCCTTCTTCAGAAGAGGAGAGCTTTCATACAATTAATCCCAGATGAGAAGTCTCCCTCAGATCTGAGAGACTTGGCAGTTTTGACTAATTGAGCAGAGAGCTAATGGTAGTTTAAACAAAAAGTAAAGTAAACAGAAAACTTGCTTGAACTGGCATCTTCCCACAGAGAAAAGTGCTTGTGGGCAGGAAGTTGGCATGATTTTATTTCTTTAGAAGTATATAGTTGATTAATGTCATGGGCCAGATCTTCGCCTGCCATACATCGGCGTAACTCCATTCACTTCCCACAGGTGAGGATCTGGCCCATTCCCTCTGTTAATAATATTTTAGATTAAATAAACTGAATTACTAATTAACATCTAATTTACCTTTTTCTAATTTGTAACTCTCTCCATTTAGACAATGACAATGGATTTATTAGTTGTATTTTCATTTAATTATTTTCTCAGGAGCTTCACTTTCTGATTGTCACATCCCAGGTACAGTGGTGGTCTTTGTGATACAACACTGTATTTCCTTTATATGGAAATTAAGTTCTTGAAAACTTTTCTATTCTTATTCAGCCTTATAAATCATCCTCTTGCATATTACTTTTATTTATTTATGTTTTAAAATAATCTGGAGGTCTGTAATTATCCTTAATCTTCAGCTGGAACAGCACATGGACAAAAATAACAGAAAGAATGGCATGGAGCTCTTATTTCTTAGAACTCTGGCCTGATCTTTAGGCCTGTCTACACTAAGAAATTGACCACATGCTGACAATTGTTGTCAGCAATGAGTCCACATGAACCAGGCTGAAAGCATAAAAATGTTTTCTTCAGCATTATTGCAGAAAGCATTCTATCAAGTTTCAAGAACACTTCTCATAAAGGGAACTGGACAAATCCCACTTCAGCACACTAGCGCGTCAATCATTTCTCATGGTGGATGGGCCTTTTGAGTGAGTAAGACTCTTTTGGTCTCTTGCAATGGAGTTAGGACTCATAGAAAAACTGATGATGTCGTTTGCATGACTCTTTTCCCCCCTCCCTTTTACTGTCTGTTATTAATGTATTAGATAGTATAGGCAAACCTTTCCTTATCTTCACCCAGGAAAAAATGTGTAATTTAATGCTTGTTAAAATCCTACTGTAAACAAGGCAGTTAATATATGTTAGCTGGTACAGGTAAGCCCTAGTGGGGTCACCTGGCATCATTTCAACCAATACATACATTTTTTTCAAGTTTCACAAATGTTCTGGTTCAGTTCCTCCTTTGTATTTTGCCAATGGGAAAATATTTATTCTTTGTATCTATCCTTATGATCATGGTTTCAAGACCAATAAGACCATTTACTCTCCAGTGAAATTATGCTTACATAAACTATAACTCCTATTTACTGTAAATGAGCACGGCTGAGAAACCAGAGTTCATGTTACTTACTCTGTAGTATATAAATAGACAGTAAAATTCAGTAAATTATTCCTGTGAATGCTTTTTCTAGCAAAGCAGGAACTGCAGAGTAAGTGATTGGATGGTATCTTTGCTCTCTCTTTTAATTCTGTTTTTTAATTATAAAGTTGTGCATAGTTGGTAAACTTACAATAGAAATTTCCTTAAAATCTTTGATTTATGTGTATTAAAAGGTAGAACTCTGTTTATTTCTTCATCAGACAAGGTTTAATGTTACATTGTGTTATAGTTTATGTATTTTAATTTAAAAAAAAAATCAGTCATGATTTAATGTTCCTACTTTGTTCAGAGTACAACAAAATATGTTTTGTTTAACTTTTTTATGCTATTTATTTAGGAAGTATATGCAATTTTACAGGTAAGTTTGGGAGTTTAGTCCCTACATTATCTTCGAATTGAAAGCATGCAGCCGTATTACCAAGTGCAAGTCCTGGTATTCACTTCTACACCATCCCCAGTGCACTTGTGCAGGGCTGAAAAAAGTTCACTTTCTTAAAAGCAGTTGTTTACTAAAACATTAAGGATTATGTTTGCAGGCAACCTGATGGGACTTATCTGAAATTTTCTCCTTTTTTTATCAGAGTTGTAGGGTTTTTAGAGCAGGACAAATTCCAATAATTAGGGATACTTCATTAAGATCTGAGAAAAGAATAGTTAAGAAGTGTTTTCATGAGCACTGAAGCTCTGATTTAAAAAAAATAACTACTACAAATGTTTTAGGAAGTAGACATTTAGCATTCCTTTATATAGCCAATGTGTAATATTGCAACATTAAGAGCTTATTTGCACTCAAAATACCTTTAGGGCAGTGGTGGGCAACCTGCGGCCCACAGGCCACATGCAGCCCATCAGGGTAATCCGCTGGCGAGCCTCCAGACCGTTTGTTTACATTTGCATGGCTACCCGCAGTTCCCAGTGGCTGTGGTTCACCGGTCCCAGCCAATGGGAGCTGTGGGAAGCGGCACAGGCTGCAGGTTGCCCACCACTGCTTTAGGATAATTCTTTTAATGATTTTTCACAGGCTAGGAATCAAACAATGCTGCTGCTTCCAATATTCAACACTTTTGTCTTCGTGTTAACTCTGGTGACAACTTCCAACTCAAATCCTGCTCAGGTTGTCCAAAAATGGGATCAGAATGCATGTACACTTGTTGTGTGCGGACCTGCTCAGAACGGACTACCAGGAAGTGATGGGAAAGATGGCCCTAAAGGGGAAAAGGGAGATCAAGGTATAGAAATATTGACTTACTGTTCACCTGTTGGTCAGATTGGTATTTAAAAAAAAAGATAAAAAAGGAAGCATAATTCAAATCATGTAGCTAGATGGAACTTGAGCAAAAACATTTGTCAAGCATGAAAAATCTGGAGATCCTTAATATATTGCTAATTACTAAAATACTAGGATGAAACTAACAGTCAAATAAAAGCTAGGTTAGAAATTAAAACGGGATGCTTCTGAGATAGGTAATATTCTCTAGAGCCTTTTACCTCCAGGCCACCAGTTTTGAATCTGATCCAGATTGGCAGTGTCTGAAACTTGTTACCAGCCAATGACTGTCCTGTGGGTCTATGTGAAATGACTTGGATGTTTCAGTACATTTCTTGATGATTAAGAGATACACACACACACACACACACACACATGTCATAAATAAGACTAATAGCACTTTTGGCAGTGTCAGCAGATGGCCAACACCGGGGTAATATACATTCTGGTATTGTCAAACCTCAAAATAAGTTGAATTGGCACTGAAGAGACAGACCCTGGAAGAGTTGTTTAGGTCTCACTGCTGCAAAGGATGAAGGGGCATTCAGCCTACTCTCTAGAAGTTACTATAAGAAGTTATTTATTTGTATTACAATATCACTTAGAGTCCCTAACAGAGATCTGAAAACGATCTTGTTGGGCAATCTACATAAAACATGGTAAGAGAAAATCTCTGCTCTGAAGATCTTCCAAACTCAATAGACGAGACAGAAAGAAAGATGGGAGTAGTATGTCCATTTTGCAGATGGGCAATAGAGGCATAAGGGATTATGGGCTAGGTTGTCAAAAGAGCATAGCTCCTATTAAGCACTATATTTTCAAAACAGGGCACTGAGTGCGGAGTTATTTTGACTATCCAGTTGCAAGTGTCTCAATGAGAGCGTTTATATTCTTTTGAAAATCTGATCCCAACTGTGGATTCTGAGCACCTGAAAATCTGGTTCCAAAGTCTGTTGAAAATATGGCTTTATCTGTACATGCTCAGAAACATTTTAAGAATTCCAGCTCCACTCACATACTAATATTTCCATTTAGAAGTGAATCCAAACCAAACTTCTGAACACATTTCAGATGTTTGAATTTGATATTCTAATAATAGCAGTGGAGTCAAGCTATAAAGTTTGGACCTGGATCAGGATCTGAACTTTTCCCAAAATTCATTATGGTCTTTTTGTTGATCTCATCATCATCCATCTGTAATTATGACAGTAATCACAAACTCTTATAACACCTACAGATTCAATTGTTTACTTGCTTTATTTTTGACTCTTCCTTTTCCCTGAATAAACACATTGGATTGCAAGGATTAAGAGGGATACCAGGTCTTCCAGGAAAGGATGGATCCCCTGGACCAAAAGGAGACATAGGGGCAGAAGGACCAAAGGGAGACTGTGGAGGCAGAGGTAAGCAGTGCACTTCTTTTGAGGGAGGGCAAAGAAGAAGCCTAATAGCACATACACAGAAACTATTATGGACTTTTTAATGGTTTTCATTTCATAAATGTTCCAGTTGGGCTTTGCTCCTTCTGTCAAAGTGGGGAAGAAATACACAGAGATGGGCACTGAGGAAACCAGACAGTCTTGTTTGCAATGGAAAGAAGTGAGCGAGGCTTGAAGGGTTAGGCTGATGAACTCAAACGTCTATGAGTAGCATCCTACAGGAGACAGACACCACAGTGATGGGTACCTGGTCCCTGGGTTCGTGGGATGAAGGATGTGCTGCTGGAAGACAAGGAAGAAGTCCTACAAAGGTTCACCAGGGTTCACCAGCAGCTGTACAAATGATCTCGGTTCTTGTTCATGAAATTTTCACGCATAGGCTGAGATTGGCAAACATCATGGTAGTTGTACCTACTGCAAAGGTCAAGTGGACTTCTAGTGAATGCACATATTCTTCACAATTCTCCTCAGAACATTGCTAATTGACTTTATTCTAATTTCCATGTTTTATTTTCATAATTATGTTGTCTTCTGCTTCTAATATTTAGCATTTACAATTGAATTGAAAAGCTAGCATTGCTGCAGATGCTATTAAGAATTGCACTCAGTGGGTAGTTTCCTTTTACTTTCAGTGGAGTTGTGGCCTCAACACCTCAGTTTTAAACTTGTTGTATCTTCTTGAGGAACCAAGAAATCAAAAACAGTATCTTTGGTGTTACACTTGTGATTCATTACTAGTTCTGGAGGTGATTTTTCTAGCTTTAAGCTTTTAGAAAACCTTCCATATTTTAATGTGACACAATAAGAACAATACTATTATTTTATTCTTCAGAATGTGAGCTTTTAAAAACTGAAATAAGGGATTTGCAAGAACAACTGAAGACCCTGAAAGCTACTGTCAGCAAAATCCAAAAAGGTAAGACAAATGAAGTGCTGTTCATTCCAGTCACTGAGAGATGGGCCCAAACGGAGTAATTTGGATGCAGATCTAGATCCCCACTTCTTCAGAGTTAAAAATGATTCATATGTGGTGTCTGATCTGGGCTTCTTGCTATTTGTTCATACTCCAAACTTCTATGTACTTGTTGGATGTTTTAGTAAAGTAACTCAGTTCTACAAGTATAGGTCTAAATCTCTCACATGTATTGGTAGCCTTGGCAGATCTCCACTTTGATGTAAATAGGAAAGTCCATCTGAGAATAGCTGTGGGATCAAGTGCTAAAAAAAAATCCTATCCGAAGTATACTTAAGATGAAATAGTGTGGCTTGGGTAGGGTCCACTTTGTGTCTGAAATGTTATTTGATTTGTCCTGTGACCAAAAAGAATAGTGGGAGACAACCACTCTCTGACATCAACAGCACATGTGGCCTCATTCTGCCCCTTGATTTCCCATTTACTTCCTCTGGAACAAGAACAGGACCTTGATTCTTATCTGTGTTAATGGAATGATGAGAGGACTTCTCACTGTGTCATATCAAGGACAATGGGCCTGGCCTCATAAAAAGTATTGCAGTAATGTTCCCAAACACTATACCGTACAATAGTGACATGGCAATATTTTAGGCTAACAAAATAGTATTAAACTCTGGTATTGTGTACAATTCCAACTCTGCTCTCTAGGCCAATAAAAACTTCCTCAGCTATGCCTTCATTGCTAACTAAAATAACAATAATAAAGTATAAACCTCAACCTAAGATTTTTCCTGGTGGTTATAGGGTCTTCCTGAGACCTTTCGCCTCTGTTTTCTCTACACCAGTAAAATATTCTTCCCCTTTTAAACTTCTGGGTTGGTGTGCATAAGTCTCAGTTGGTCTGACAGAATGAATCAAAAAAAAATAACTGCCTCTTGCTTCAGCGTCCAAGAACTTGTTACTCTAATCTAAAGAATAGTGTGTGGGGAAAAAATGTAATTTAGATGTACTGTACTTCTGTGTTTTTTCTAGCTTGGATTTTCATAAATGGCAATAGTGCCGGTGAAAAAATATTCGAAACCAATGGCTCTGAAGGTGACTTTGAGACCTCAAAAGCCACATGTTCCCAAGCTGGTGGCCTGATTGCTTCTCCAAGGAATTCTGCAGAGAACAGTGCCATACAACAAATAGTAGTTCGTCATAACAAGGCAGCATATATTGGAATAAACGATATACAAACAGAAGGTTCATTTAAGTATCTAAATGGTGAAGCAATAGGATACTCAAACTGGGCTCCAGGAGAACCAAATAATGTTGGTGGAATTGAAAACTGTGTAGAAGTATATCCAGATGGCAGATGGAATGACAAATCCTGTAATGAAAAACGGTTAATAATCTGTGAATTTTCATCTCCCTGACTTTGTGGTTTTCATTAAAATCAGTTAGTGCAAGTTGGCTTGCAGCTTTAATAATTATATAACCTTATTGATTTACAATAGCCTCACATTTTGCATACCATGCGGCATCAGTGATGTAAAGGTATAGATATACTGAATCTTGCTGAAATTTCTATTATGATAAATTGAATTGCAATAAAGTCATCATTCAACTTTCAACTGTGTTCGGAGCTGGTTAAAACAGGAGATACTACAAGTGTTGGGAGAAATTGATACCTACACAGTTTCAGACTTGAACAAAGGTGACTATCATGAGGAACTGACAGAGAATACAGATCAGGGTTGTCTCTTATGTAAGAGGCCAAAAGATGACCATTCTGCTCCACATAGTTCCAGCAGAGAATGCATTAGCTTTATGAATATATACTTGTCTTAAAGTGAAGTGTAAGAATGGAAATGCTGGATTTCCATTGATTTCTGTTTAAAGCCATTTACAGGTCTACAGTCTGCTTATTTACAGCTGTGTTCTCAGGTTATTAAAATGGGGGGAATTCTAGAAGCTTGTGGGTCATGTGTCCCTTGATAGCCCACTGGAGTTTGGGCACATTGTGGATTTAAGTCCCATTATTCAGCACTCACAAATGCCAAGGCACTTTACAGACAGACAAAATCCCTGCCCCAAAGATTCTAAAATCTAAATAGAGACAAGACAAAAGACAAAATTGGAGAAGGAGATAAGGGAAATGGGAGAGGGGAGAAAGGCCAATAATACCAGATAACACACTGCTTGGTTGTTTGACACACTTTTGGTGGATTAATGCTTTTTGTTTCATGTATTAATTCGCTTTTGCTTAGTGTCAAGGGAAAGTTGCACTGTTCATAGGGACCCTGGTATGAAAATATCATTGATTATAGAGAGGTCAGAAAGAATTTCTAGAAATATGCTTAGTTGCCTTAACATGAATAGTACTTGAAATAAAGAGACTCCAGGCCATTTACTCAGAATTTCCAGAACGAAATCTATTTTATCTAAAGCAGCTTTCAAAGATTCCTTGAAGCCTTACTTTCTGGTGTTTGGTAAAGCACCTTATCTCTGTGTTTGTCCTGCTCTGAGATGTGATGAACTTGTTTCAAGATCTTCATGGACTCAACTATATAACTGTGGATATGTCACTACTATGGGCCCATGAAGTGAGGATCTTTGCGTCATCAT